GCTCCATGCAAGAGGAGCTGGATGTGCCTGTAAGAGAGATGAAGGCTGGTGGCAGCAGGAGGAGTCACAGGTGACATTTGTGCCAGAGCATCCTGTGACTGTTGGGACATTTGGGAGGTTTCTAACTGGGCGGGTGGCAGCAGGTCAGGAGGTGACGAGTCTGAGCCGCCTCATCCCTCCCGGCTCGACTGCATTTGTGTGGCTGCAAGTGCCAGCCCCACGCTGGGGTGGGGACGAAGGGGACAAGCCGTCGGGTTTAAACCAGAGCAGCCCCTTGGCAGAGGCCCCCACTTGGGCTGGGAGCAGTTTTCCAGGGCTGAGCTGCGCTGGGCGCGTATAGAACTTGGCTGTGGAAACACGGCGCGGCTGCGTCTCGTGGGCGCTGCGGGGGGCACACGCGGCTCCACTGAGCCGGGCGCTGCCCGCAGGAGGTCATCGTCCCCGAGGGCAAGTGGAGGAAGGTGTCGCCCGCGTCGCTCTCGCTGTCGCTCCCGGACGCCGAGTACCAGTGCATCCACCGGGCCTCCGGCAGCAGCCTCAGCGCCAAGGAGAGCTCCTTCACCTCGGAGGAGCCCTTGGTCTCAGGTGAGACCCGTGGCCTTGCCCTTACGCGGTGCTTCTTGGGGTAAAATCCATCTTAAATGTGTGCTCGCTGCTCCCCGGGGAAGGACGCAGGGCTCAGCCTTGCGGATGAGCAGAGCCAGGGCACGGGAGCTCTGTGGCAAGGGGACGGTGACAGTGACAGGGGTGGGATGGGGCTTCCCGGCTGTCCAGCCGGGGCCCAGCTGCAGAGCCAAAGCCCTGCGGTGTCCGAGCCCTGGGTGACTACGCGCTGGGCACAGCAGGAGCAGCAACGTCGGCCGACCCCGTGTGGCCGCGGCCCCCTGTTGACTCGCCGGCCCCTGGGTTCTGTTGCAGAAAGTGCAATAAACACGGAGGAGGAGGAGCTGGAGGGGGAGCAGAGCTGCGTGGCGGAGCTGAGGCCCTCCGACTACCAACTGCTGAAGATCTTCATCGTGCTGTGAGTGCGGAGGGGCCCCGGCCACGGGGCGCCCGGGGCAGCTTGGCCAGGCCAGCCCTCCTGTGGGGAGAGTTGGCCTCGGCCGTCACCTCTGACCGCTTGTGCTTGTCCCCTTGGTGGCAGGATCTGCCTCCTGGTCGTGTCGTCTTCATACCTGGCGTTTCGCATCTTCCGCCTGGAGCAGCAGCTCTGCTCTCTGAACCGGGACTACCTCTCCCGCGGGCACAGGAGGTGAGGGGGGACCCTGCTGCTGGAGCGAGATTGGGGACAGGAGGACAATCTGTGTGGATAGCGGAGGGCTTAAATAACCAGGATCCCAGGCTCTGCCTCCTCCCTGCCGCGTGCGCGGGTCCTTGTGTGCGGGCGCACGCGCGTGATCCTTCTGTGCTCGTGCCTGTGGCACAGCCACATTCCTGGGCTTGGCTTGGCGAGCCTGTTGGCATCCCTGGCGCCTGTCCCTGTGGCACGGTCACCACATGGTAGATACCGGTCGTGTTGCTGAACACCCCACAGATGAGGGGAGCTTTGGGCTGCGTGGCCAGGGTGCGTTCTGCCATCCGTGACACTTTGAGCCCTTGCGAGGGGACCCTGGTGCCACCCTGGGCCCTCACCTCGGTCTTACCCTGTCCTCTGGTTGCAGGTGACTGTTACCCCAGAGCTCTGGCTCAGCACAGACGACAAGAGAGAAGCACTTTGTGTACAGATCTCCCGGCGAACGTGGCTGCAGTATTTGGAGCACCCGCATCGAGGGGTCGGGGCTCTTCTCTCCATTCAGCCTCAGCAGAGCCCTGCGTCCTCCCAGCTGTGGGACCTGCTGGCTCCCGTTGCAAACTTCCTACAGGCCTCGGTGTCCTCATCCCTCACGCGCCCCATCCCACTCTGGAAGGAGGCGAGTTCCATGTCTTCCGCTCAGTAACTCCAGGCTCGACTGTTCCCCGTGGCCTGTCTTTCCCTTGGGGACCAAATACCCTCTCTCTTCCTACCACCGTGGACTCCCGCTCCCAAGCAGGACTGCGCGTGTGGGTGACGGCCTCCGGTGCCAACTCCCCGTGCCATTGGAAACCCGTTGTCTTCCCGGGACGCTGATGCGCTGCTGCCCGACTTTGGGCCTGCCCGTAGGACTTGCTGCTACAACGGTCACTGTTTTTTATCCCAAACTTGAGTTTTCTGTGTTAAAAGATGATCTTTAAGCTGGACTGCGAGCCCCTGTGAACAAGTGGAGGAGCTCCTAAAGGAGGCCGGGGGCCTGGGCCTGTCGTCCCTGGCCCTGCTCCCGTATTAAGGGAGTTGTCACCATGCCTGGTCCCTCCTGTGTGGTGAGCTGCTCCCCTTGGCCACTGGAGCGGGGTGTGTGTCCCGTGCCGGGAAGGGGCTGCCCTGGCGGATGTCAGCGTTAGAGCCCGGGAGGCGCCGTGTCCAGCTGTGAGGCTGTTTCCTGGAGCCACGGCACGCGCCTTCTCTAGCCAGCACCCTCTGGACCAAGCGTCCTCGCTGGGCCCACGCCGGGGCAGGGACGGTCCCGCGGGCGCGAGGCTGCGTGGGCCCCCTGCACCGCGTTGTGGGGCGTTGAGGGACACGGTGCCACTCTGTGTGTGTGGGCCGGGGTGAGGGGCGCTGCTCAAACTGCCTCCCTGGGCAGCGGGGCCACCCCTGCCCTCCTGCCGGGCAGCAAACCCGGTGCCTCCCGCTGCTGCCCCACACAGCCCTTTCCGTGAGGCAAAAGCCGGGCATGGGGAGGCCGTGTCCTTTCCCAGCCCCACACGCCCGTTCCGGTGGCGCGGGGCCAGCCGGGCCGAGCCCGCGGCGCATCCCCAATAAAAGCCCGTTTTTGTAGCACGCCTGTGGCTGCCGGGGAATCCTTGGGGCTGGGGCGGTCCCCCCCTGGAGCCCGCGTCGGAGCGCTCCCAGCGCGGCCTTTTGGCAAACAGGGCTGGAAGCAGCTGGGAAGGCCTCGCTAGATGGCAGCAAAGGCTGTGGGATGCGGCCCTGGAGCGAGGCTGTTGCTTAGCGCCCTGTCCTGCTGCCTGGGCCTGGTGGGACAGGCTGAGCCTTCATCTTCCTCCTTCTCCTCCTCCTCCTCCCTGTGCGCGGCTGAGTGGGACAGGGCTGGGCTGGCCCTGCACCAGAACCCCGCCGGGTCGTGGCGGAGCTGGCCGGGCAGCCCAGCCCCGTGTTGGCTCTCCAGGTGCTGCTGCCGGCACAGGGGCCTCCCGCCCGCGTTCTGTCCTCGCTGCCCGGCCCTTCCTTGGTCACGGGAAGGGGACCTGGCCCGTGGGTGGCATCTGCCTCGTCTGCAGCCGTGGCTTTGTCCTTGAGCCCTAGGAGCGCTGGCGGCCTGAGATGCTCCCGCTTTCCTTTCTCTCCCCGTGCGTCTTTTCCCACCCTCTCCAGCCAGTGCTCCCACCCGCCCTCCTGCCTGTCCTGCTTGGCTCCACAGCCACCCCTAAAAATGTGTCTGAGACACTAATCCAGCAGGTTCATCCTCCCCCTGTCGCACTGAGCTCCCACGGAGCTCGTGTCGGGGCTCGCTTGGTCTGCGGGGCCGCTTCCCAGCGCGGGCTCCGCTGCTCCCGGAGGCTCCCGCCGGTGGAGGCTGCTGCGTGCAGCGAGGCCAGGGCCTGGCAGGGACCCACATCCCTCCTCCCTGCGTGTTTGGGAGGTGTCTGCAGGGACCAGCCGCTCGCCTCTCCCTTAGCACCAGGCAGAGCTCGGGATGTCGCTGCCCTGCTGCCTGCCCTCCTCTCTGCGCTGGTGCCAACATTGGTGGGGCTGGGCAGCAAACGAGAGCCGCCAGAGACCCGCGTTAAAAATAACCCTTGCCCAGAGGCAGGGAGTATTTTTAACACAAGTTTCGCTGCTCCAGTTGCAGGTGGGGTTATTCTGCTGGACGCGGCCTAAGCGACTGGCTCTGTGTCCTGGGCAGTTACAGGTTATTTCTTACCCTGCAAGGATGGCTAGATTTTTTTTTCCCCTGCTGCCAATCCTGTCTTTTTGGTAAGAGGATCAGCTCTTGGATCCCAGCCGTAATCCAGCGCTGGAGGAAAAGTGTGTTTGGAAGAGGCCAATCGTGAAGCAGACAAGAGCATTAAGGACTAACACCTTGAGCTTCAAGGATGCAGCAGCTCTTTGGCTTTTTTACTTTAAATCCCATTCCTTTGTTCTCCTCGCTTTGGTTTTTGTCTGAGACCACGAGGTCTGGCTCTGTGCTAGAGGAAACGGCACCCACCTCCTGTCCTCACAAATGATAAGGAGAGTTTGAGGACGCCTCCCCCCGCCCACAGAAGGGAGATGACCTAAAATCGTAATGAAGAAAACTTCAAAGACTGAATGTCGCTTTCCATCTCAATTAAGCTTCCCTTCTTGGATGTGTTTTCTCTGCTCCCTATTAATCTTCCCCTGGCTCACAGAGGCAGGTTTTAGTATGCAATAAGAGCAAGCAGGGGTGGGGAAAGCAAAGCTACTTTCATGCTGGAAAAACCTACAGGAGGGAAAAAAAAAAAAGAGGCTTTTACCCCACTCTTTAACTAATCATAGCTTTTCTTTTTGATTCTTTTTTTATAAATATCTCGGCAGCAGGTTGTCTGCTGTGACTGCCGCCTTGCTGCTCAACCCTGGTTTCACAAAGACTGTGAGGTGCAGATCAGAACCATCTGGAGCTGAGTTTTAAAGGCAACTGCCAAAGCTGGTTTAGGGCAGCAAACTGCAGCCACCTCGAGCCAGGGTGTGTTGCCCGCTGGGCAGGGGTGGAGAAGGGTCTTTAGCAACTCGTTCTGCCCCAATAAGAAGTGCAAAAAAAATCACCTTTGATAGGAAGATTTAATTGAGAGCGACTAGAGTTGGGGTTCAAAGGCCAGGCGTTTCTGGAGGACTAAGGCTTTGGGAGGAGGAGGGTGCTCGCGGGTGCAGTTGTGCTGGGGGGTTACATTCTGCTTGGGGAAAGCCCTGCGCGTGGGCAGCTCCCTCGGGCACGGCACCCTGCTCACCTCCCCGCGAGCTTGGCCACCAGGGCCCTCCACTCGGCTCGCTTCTGCGTGATGTAGCCCGGGGTGAGGAGCTGCAGCAAAGGCTCCTGCCGGCCACGGAAGTAGCCCTGGCACAGGGCCTCCGTGTTGCAGATCACGTACATCCCGCAGTCGTAGCTGTTCTGCTGGGCAGGCGCCTTCTCCTCCACAAACGTCACTTTGCCCCCTTTTCTGCCCAAGAAAGCCTCCAGCTTCTTCGCCACTTGCTTGGCGTGGGCAGAGTTGCTCTTGCTGTGGGAATCGTAATGGGCGAAGGACTTTTTGTCCCTGAAGTAAACCAGCAAGCTCCAGTGGGTGCCTCCGGCAGTCTGGTTGGAGTTATCATTGATGGGCAGGAACAGCAGCTTCTTGTGGACAAGGTCTAGCGGTTGCAGGAACGCGGCCACTTCCTCCTGGCTGGTGGCACATTTGATGAACTGGGCCACCTCGGGCCCTATAAAGCTCACCTGGTCACAGAACTCTTGGAACTGGTCACAGGCAAAGTACTCGAAGGCAAAGCCAATGATGTGATCGTTGAGCCAGTTCGGTGGGTCCAGCAAGGCCACGTCTGACTGTCTCAGCAAACTGTCCATGTAACTGAGCACGACGGGGTCCATTCTGCGGACACTGGGGCCAGGGAACTCCCAAGGCTGCAACACAGGAAGGGCAGAAGGTAAGTGATGCAATCAGACCCCACCTTCAACGCGATGAAGTGCTACAAATTTACCAAGTTCCTTCTTAGCAAGCAGTGAACAAAGGACCGCCTTTCCCAGACCTGTATTGAGGGACCAATATTTGAACTATCTGCCTGTTGATGGGACTAAGATACGCAGCTCGGTCCCTCGGCTGCAGCTCTCCTGCTGCCCAGGAGCTGCGCGTTTCTCAGCACACGCTGCCTAGATAAATGTTTTAGAGTAAAAATTTTAACCTGTGCTGTGGGTGAATTCGAGCAGTCGCTCGGGAACAGCAAGAACTCCTATGTGAGCTTGGAGAACTGGTGTTTGTTTCACCTGTACAATGTAAGTCGTGGCAATTCTTTGCCTCATTGGTTTTCTGAAGAAGTTTTTTCAAGGCTGTAAGAGAAATCTTCAGGCCCGCTCATGCAAGTAACGGAGACACGGCCACAACTCGGTGCCAGGCACATGCTGCAGACAGACCTGCTGCTCCGCAACGCGGGAGGCAAAGCAGTGCAGAGACAAAGCAAAACAAAACCACCAGCATGCCAGTTCCCACCAGGGAGCTTTTAGGCCAATTCACTGCACACTTGGTAGAGATTTCAAGAATTCAAGGAGAGCCGAAGCTGGAAAGTTCACAATAGATGTATGAAGTTCAGCTCAGCTTCTAATGCACCAAAGTTCTGCTCGCAAAAGCTGTTTGTTACATTGATTATTTACTTCCTTAACCAAAAGGGGGGACGTTTTTAACATCTCGTAGTAGGTTTATTATTATGGCTATGTCAGTGATATTTAGAAGACTAATCTCTGTGTCAGAGGGAGAATCTGGCTTTGATGGTAGAGAAAACCGAATCCCTGCTCGAGAAGGGATGGGCAGGACACACACGTGCGACGCCTCCCTCAAGCTCACCTCGCTTCAGAGAACTTCCCCGGAGCCTTAGATGTGCAGACAGAAACATTCCCTATGTTCACCTGACAAGAAAACGGCCGGTGAAATTCAGAACAGACACTCATTGAGTCATTCAGTCCTGTTTTTAAAGTCCTTGGGCAGATGGTCATGAGCAGGAGATGTCCCCTCGCTGCTCCCCGTCCTCCCGAGCACAAGCAGTAGAGGTCCCTGGGTGATGTTCACCCACCAGGAGCCCTGCTCTTTCATTCAACTGTTTCCCCAGGCTCCCTTTTCCTTAAAAAGCTTTTGGAAATTCAAGCAGGTTTTACCACCTGGTTCTCCCCATCCGTGTGTTCGAGGCCAAATTCAAGTGACTTGAGGCCATTTTTGCCTCACTTGTGTCCAACACAGCAAGAAAACATCTTGAGATTTCTTCAAGCACTATGTGAAAACTCCTAATGATGAGATGGCTTTAGCATGATTCATTATAAATAAGACACTAATTACCCACTGTGATAGGGAGAAAAAGTCACATGTGTTGGGTTGTTTACACACTAGGAAGGGGCACATTTGGGCTCCTTATTGCAACACAAATCATTAAAAAAAAAATCCTTCCTGCCCAGGTATGCATAAATTAAGAGAGGTTGATATCTAATAAATCTTGGCAAGATCCCCACGTGTGTGACTTGTAAATAAGAGAACGCATGAACCATGCTGCACGTGGAACACGTTGGAAGGAAGAGCCAAGGGAAACTATCGCCTGCTCCAAAAAAAGTAATAACTATTTGTGTATCTCTGATAGATCCAGGGCATGCCAGGCAGCAAGAGTCAGCCGAGAGCAAGGGGAGCAGCCGGTTTTGTTTACACCGAGCCAAATGCAATGGTATTTGGCCACGCTTCCTTTATTAATGCACCCAACTAAACCGCTTCCAAGTTGAGAGCAGTGGGCAAGGCAGAAAAACAAAAAATTCCCCCCCTCCAGATGCTGCTTGGAAGCTTAGAAACCTGTGTAGTTATAACTCTGCTTAACCAACTATAGATCCTGCAAGCCTAGAAGTGACCTGTTTGGGGGTTTACAGGGTCATTGGTGAATGGTTTCTCTACAAAATGTTACATACAACACCTCAGATTCTCCTTCTCTGCATTATTTCTGCTTCGTCTTCTCCCATAGACACACAGAGGAAACCAAACAGCTTTCTAGTCAAGGCCAAACAAAATTAAAGGCTGTAGAAGGAAGCGGGCATCCTGTATTCTGTTAATTTTCCACTCTGCAGAAACATTTTTTTTTTTTGAGAGAGAGACATTTGGCAGCTTCCTGCGATCAGGAAAGGAGCCCGGTTAGAGCAAGTGCTTAACAGCAACTAGCTCCCACTTGTAATTTTATTACCATCTGGTATTTGTGAAACCACTTGCGAGTTCGACCCGGTGACTCACCACATGCTACACATATTAAAGCAAAAAAAAAAAAAACCCAAAAAACCCTCAAAAAACAAAAACCATTTTCTAGGCTCTGGTGCCTTTCCGAGGTGCTTAAGATAAGTGCGCGCTAAGGACAGCACCAGGAGCGCAGCACAGGAAAGGAGGTGCGGGAAGTTTTGGCACGTGCGGGAGAAAAACCCTTCAGCCAAAGGCGAGGATGAGCCGGGACCCAGGACATCCCCGGGCGGGACGGACGCCGAGGGGCGCGCGGGGCCCGTCCGCGGTG